GGAATCCTGAATGCCAGGCACAGAACAGAAATTATGCCCCAGAAATTCTGTGCTGTATCAGCAAAGATACACTCTTTTCCCAAGATCTGAGTTATGTCCAACATGACCTAATGGACATCTCACCTGGGACCATCTGTAGCATACATTTTGATGCTATAGGGACCGTTACACATACACATGTTACTATTTCAGGGGCACAGTGACAAATCAGAGGAAGGCAGAGAGAATGGTTTTGTGCAGTCCCTACCAGGAGGATGCTTTCCCAGGCCATCCAACGTATGGGCAGTACCGCTCTTCCCTGGATACGGTAGTAATCCCCACTGTAAAGATTCCTGCTCATGCCGAAGTCCGCAATCTTGATGGTGTAGTTGTTCCCCACCAGGCAGTTGCGAGTTGCCAGATCTCTGTGCACAAAATTCAGAGATGCTAAATACTTCATTCCAGAGGCAATCTGGGTGGCCATGTACAGCAGGTTAGAGTAGCTGCATTAAAAGAAAACAAAACAAAGAAAAATCAATAGAGTTCCCTACAATCAACTCTTCCTTGCATTTAATGTTTTACAGTGACCTGTCATTTTATTTTTTGCCATAACAGTGAAACTAAACTGTCTAGTTTCAGGGCACTAACACCCCCCCATCTGCCAGGCTAAGCCAAGTTCCTGAGCTGACTAAGCAAGAACAGACCAGCTGTCCCTGAAATTCAGGGCCCTTAAAAAAAAAAAAAATCTAAGGGATGTCAAATTCTAATATCAAGCATTAATCTCAAGATTTTCAAAGAGTTTATGCATCAAAGCACCAACTTTTTGCAGAGAGACATGAAAAATTAAGCTGTACAATCTCAGAATCTTATATCTAAAAAACTGTTTAGCTTGGTATTTCAAACACTGCCACTATTGCAATGCTTACATTAATGTAAGTATGTCACTTGACATTAGAGAGAGCTTACTTTTTTTTTTAATATGTTTAATATTACTGACAATACAAACAGATGCATTTTCCGTCTAATATAATTTTAATTCCCCCATTAGCAAAATGAAGATAATATTAATAAAGTTGCACGATACACAAAGTTCGGACCATCTGACTTTCAGCATTCTTCATACACTATTATTCTGTGATGCTCGGCTTGTTTCCCACTGTGCGTGCTCAAACGCTTCACACAATCGAGCATTTGTCACAACAAACCTAATAAACTGTTCACAGTTAGTATTTCTCTGATAAAGCTCAGAAAAAGAAAGTCTTAGTCTCCTCCTCTTTGTGTTCCGGTGGCAATGAGAAAAGCACTACCATGTTATCTAAATTACAATAATGTAATGCATCTAATGATAACAGATCCAATCTATTTGTTCTAATCAGTAGCTAAGCTATCACTACAGATAGCAGAACACTGGCAGGAGGGTCTGGGCACCACTTCCCTCCCAGCCTTTCAGCATGGTGAACACCACAACCCAGCTAGGTGACACTTAGCCTAGTCCCACAGTCAGCTCAATGTTTCTTCTGATCTGAGTGGGCCTGTTGTGCCCGCACAGAAGGAACTGTGCCACCCACTTGTACCTTGTTAACCTGGCTGTTGGCTTTTCACATAGGAGCGGACACAGCCTCTAGACCCAACTTTCTCCCTGCCCAGCTCCAGTTGCCTCCCTGCCTGAGGCTGTTGCTCTTCCCATTCAAGAACCCCTGTCTCCCCTGTCCCACCTGCACCCCGTCAGGGTCCCATCAGCAGCTACCTGCGGCTCCGTGCCCCTCTGCTCAGCAAGCTCTGCAGGGCTTGATGCGTGCAGCTCTGCATACAGAGGGGCAGGACGGGAGACACCTCTCGGCAGACTCATCTTCATGATTTGCTAGATAGCCAGAGAGACAGTAGGGAGATGCATTTCAAATACCAAAGAGCCATAAGGACTTAAAAATGTGTGACCTCTCTGCAGGAAAGGGCTGGTCACCACATTTAGTGCACCAAGTGTTGAGCTCGAGAGACAGGTGAGATGGTTGGACCTTGCCCTATCAATCAGACACCCACAGGCACCAGCAGAGACAAGCTGCACTCTGGCAGGGGAATTCACTTCACTCTCAGTAAATGACTCCTACATAGACAGATAGTCATACCGGCTTCCTTTAATGTGAAATTATATCTGGCTGGAAGGGACAAAAGGAGAGGCTGAAGGATCAGCTGAAAAGAAGGAAAAACTAGAGGTAGAGCCAAGTAATGGAAGCCAAGGAAGAATGTGAGCGACAGTGCTGAAGTCAGATTAGAGGTGAAGAGGAGATAAAGAAGAAAGGACAGTTTGAGGCTTTGGCCAGGAAAAAAAGCCACAAGTCTAAAGGTGAAAGCTGTTTCAGATGTGCAAAAAGCGCAGGAGACTGGAGAGAGCTGGAATACGTTTCTACTCAGATGCAAACCCTCTCCTATCTTACAGTTCCTGGTGTGTCATGACCGCAGGATGTCAGTTTAACACTGCCCGACGGAACTACTGATCACTGCCAACTACTGGCAAAAACACTGATGTCGTCTCAACATGGTAAGACATCTCCTGTCCTGTCCGTCAACAGAATTGGCTCTGCCTAGTTCTTGAACCATAAATAAATCTAATCCTTTGGGGAGGTACATGCCAAAGGCTAAGCAATGCAGCAACTTCTGATCAGTGCAGGTTTCTTTATCGAGCAGAATACCTTAGTCCTACACACAACTCTCCTCCGAGGAAAGGATTTCTGCAATAGTAGAGAAGCTTTTATGTTAGATTTAATCCTTCCACAGAGGAGGGAGGTAAGTGCCACTACTGACAGAAAATGGTTTTCTTTGCCAAATATTCTCCTTCTGTTGGCTGATGAAATCTTTCCTTAGCGAAGCTCCACACTCAACTCCCCTCACGTAGTATTTTCTAGACATCCAGAAAACATATGAACCTTCTTAAAAGCCTAAGAGACATTCTTGGTTTTCATCCCAAAATTCTTGCTGTAATGCAACTGTCTTGCCATATTAATGGAATATTTGATACAAGCCCACTAACGTAAACAGATGGTCGCATCAGTAAACATTACATCTAAGATGGTCACTAGAACAGCCCGCAGCCAGGGACACTTCACGGGAACACAGACCTCCAGAGGCCTCAAGAACAACCTCCCACACAAAGCAGGACTGGTGTCCACAGCACGTGCGGTGGCAATGGCTGGGCTGGAGGAAGGTCATTGCCTGGAAGGCACAGCAGATGAAACTGGTAGCTCTGTATTGTTGATTCAGCCCAAAGATGGGCAGCTCCTCTTACCTGACACAGGGAATATTGTTTGAAATGGCAAATTTGCTGTAGATCTCCCTCTGCGACAAGAACTGATTGAGGTCTCCATTTTCCATGTACTCTGTTATCATGCACAGTGGGTCATCACGCACACACACCCCCAGAAGCCGGATGATATTCGGGTTCTTCAGCCGTGACATGATCTTGATCTCCTTCAGGAAATCATTTCTTGTAAAACAGAAAACACAGGTTCGAATCCTAAACTATTCCTTTGTCTAAGGAAAGCAGAAGTGGCATGTAAGAAGATCTCAGTTCAGAGACATTTACACTTCTGCATACAATAAGTTTGAAAGCTGGTGCTATGCTTATGTTCAACATTGACCCCTTCCCCAGCAAACAGGATTAATACAGCATTTCAGTTTGACATTACGTCTATTCCTATCCCACACTCCCTGCTTGTGTCCTGTTCCTTACATGAACACAGAACATACACCAGAGACAGACAACACTCTCTTACAGAAGTCACCAGGGTTAACCTATGTGAAACTGTTGCTTGCAGAGTATTTGCTTTCCTTCTCAGATGGTCAGCATTGCGGATGCGCTTACCTGGCTGTTTTGTTGACATCTGATCTCAGCATTTTCACTGCTACAAGAACTGGCTGGTGAGTGAATTCTGTAGGCGAGACTCCCAGGAATTCCAGCAGGCCATCGGCTTCACAAAGGTGCACCTGTGGGGCAGAAGGCAGAGGCAACTATGAGAGCATGCACAGGCAGAAAACTAGAGGAAAACAACATCACATTAAGGTCACCAGTTTGGTCACTGCTGGCAGAGTGACCAAGTGAATGATCTAACGAAGGTGACACTGTTCTAATCACAAATAGCCCATGGATTGGCCCTAGACCCTGGACAAAATGTATACATACACTATATAGCCCATGACGTAGGAATGCATGTGGACTGCAGTCTGATGTGTCCCCAGTGCACTGAATTTACTGCACGCGTGCAGACTGGTACAGTAGACTACTGGCGCAGTCCAATTCGCCCAGCAAGTACTGGAGATGTTCAGGAAGGCCACTGTCCCTGGAGTTGTCTGCTTTACTCTGCGTGTGCGTGCAAATAGCAAGGCTGCAGCAAGTTTGGCATGTACAGCACATCACACCAGCCATACAAGTCCAGAACTGTCCTGCAGCCTGGCCTGAGTCACCGCTCAAACTTAACTGAGGAGCATCCAGGAATTACAGACAGCTATCCAAAGTCATCTAATTCCAGAAAAAAAAGAAGTGTGTGCATGTGTGTGTGTGATGTGAACACTGCACCCGTGAATATTACCCAGAGATGAATGCTCTGATGAGTACACAGAATTCCAAGTTTCTTCAGATAAATAAATGAATAAAGACATAAAATTTCTGCCAGGGTTGTATAAAAAGGGGTGACAAGACACTTGCTTAAGAAGTTATCAGAATGCATATTCAAATGGAGAACTGGGCAAGAAATGCTGGGGTGAGGAAAGTAAACAGACCTGAGTGTGGGGGTTAGGAAAAAGGACTCTAGGAGGGGAGCAAACTGGATGTGTCAGTCAAAGACTTGCAGCAGTGAGGGGAATGTAATGGGAACTTAATGAATTTTATGTGAAGAAAGCACCAAGAACTTACATAATAAGCATAGTGAAGAGAAAAAGGAGACAGCATAGAAAATGGGACAAACCCACAGAACAGAAACAAGAGTACAAAGATGCTACTGCAGTTACATGGAGAATGAAATCTGCTGTGGTGAAAGTACAGTCACGAGACT